TATGTATCGGTTTGCTGTAAGATTGCCCTGGACAACCACTAACTGTGATCTACCCGTGTAGGATATGGCTCCCCACACCATGACACTCCCTCCACCAAATCGCTCCACCTGTCGAACGCAGTTCGGCGCAAAACGTTCATGTCGACGTCGGTATACACGTTGTCTTCCATCCCGTCGTTGAAGAAGAAAACGTGAGTCATCGCTGAACCAAACGCGTCGCCAGTTCCTGAGATCCCATGCCTGTACTCTGTTGCACCACCGGACACGTCGTTGACGGTGTAGACGTCGCAAGACAGGCCCAACTTTTGGTCGTCTCGCTCGAATTCCCACTTCCCTCAGACGATTTCTGATGGTTTGGTCGGAAATTCTTCGCATACCGGGCACTTGTCCTGCAGTGTCCGTTGCTGTAGCAAATCGATTCCGAAGGTGATGCAACGGGATGTAACGATCCTGAGCAGGGGTGGCCACTCTTGGTCTTCCACTTCTGGGATGATCTTGAGTCGAATTAGTGCGGGTATATCGATCCCATAGTCGAGATATGGTGCTTTGGTGAAGTGTCTTGCAACGGCAGACTGGGACTCACCTGCTTCAAAACGTCAGATGGCGATATTTCGGTCAGCTGCAGTTAATCTTTGCATTTTTCGATCTCCGTTCACGTCAGAAAATTCGTAATGAACTGATGAATTTTGTACGGTCTTTTATAGTCAGTCTCTCTACTCTTGTTTCCAACACTTTGCACGTGCATTGTGCTGAAAACTTTTTTCTGAAAGCAATTTCCGTGCATCCTTTGCAATTTTGCTGATAAACGTTTACAATAAATAATTTGAGATATGTTTGCGCGCAATGAACAACAAACTGTACATGATTAACGGGAATCAAACATAAGAATTGCCTTTATGACGATTGCTGGGAAAAATAATCTAATTGGAATTCTCAAAACACCTATGCGTTTCTTTTTTTGAAGAGTGTAGATACTTTGAGAAACTTATTATCATACATGATCTAAAACGTTACGAGATTTTCCAGCTTTTAATGGCCCGTTATTGCATGCTGAGAAAAACAGGCTAATATCACATCTACTTCGTGTATTTGTGAAACCATTAAAATGACGCTTCTGAATGAGATCTAATTTCACAGATTTAATTGCGGCGTTGTACGACCGAGACCTCTATACATTCGAAGGTATGAATGCTATTTAGCTGGGAAAATTCTTATATAATTTTTAGCGTAGGGCCTTTCGTGTGTGTGTGTGTGTGTGTGTGTGCGTGCGTGCGTGCGTGCTTGTACAAGTCCGGACTAATGCCGATTTATATTTCATGCCCACTGAGATACCATGCCGCAATTTAACGTGGATACCCCATTCGGACACAGTATATTGATTCCGAGCCGACCTGTCCTTGTTTTAGTCCCTTATGCCGAGCGCCAGGCAGGGTAACAACAAGTACGATCTACTCACGTTTTTTTTATGGTTTTGGCTGCGACAAGTAGTGAAATTTAGATCATGAGCTTCCAAGTCCATGCTTAACAACAATTTCCTTTTTGCGAACACCTGGCGTCATCACTGTTTGTTTGTTTGTTGTTTAACGCCGAACTCTGCAATATTCCAGCTATATGACGGCGATCTGTAAATAATCGAGTCTGGACCAGACAACCCAGTGATTAATATCATGAGCATCGATCCACGCAATTGGGATCGATGACATGCATCATCCAAGTCTGACCACCGTGTCATTACTGAAAGTCAGTGATTCAGTTATTTAATTTTCACTGCTTTCACTGCCTTTAACTCCCAACAGAATTTGTCTCGGTGGATAATCGAGACTGGTTATTCGCTGGCGTTGATGTTTCATATATTTGAACAACTTGGATGGAATGCTGTTCGTATGATAAAACCCTAATGAAACCGTTGATGGTTCCTGAAATATATCACTAAACTATTACATTTATTACATTCTCTGGTTGGGACATATTTAAAAATTAGTTTATGGTACTAGAATATAAAAGGGCAAAACAAAAAATGATATCACGTCACTGTTACCTATTTTCTTACATTCTCTTGTTGAGACATATAACAATTTGTTTGTTGTACTAGAGTAAAAAACCCACGTATTTGCCTGAATGTATGTCCCTGAGAATCACGATTAGGCAACACATATATCACGTCACGTATTTTCTCACATTCTTCAAATGGGACATATGCCTCGAGTGTAGATCATGAATACAGACACAAACTCGAGCTGCAACATATCCGTGTTATTTCTGTTTCAGATATGGACCAAGAAGAAGGAGCAAGTGGTATAGTTGTTATTAATTACATAAACTTACTTTCTTACTCACTTATTTTCTGATTTAACGAAGTCAAATCAGGGAATCATTAAATACAAATGTTCACTATATACACCAGTGTTATTAATAACAATCAGCTATATTCCAGCTATATGACAGTCGCGTGTAAATATTCGAGTTTGGACCAAACAGACGTGTGATTGATATTATGAGTATCTACGCCGTTGGGGTAAATGGCACGCTATCAATTAAGCCATTGAGTCTGACCACCCGATCCATTTGGTAGCCCCTTGCGACCAGTGGTCCGTTCCACCGTAGCGCTAATGAGATCGTGATTCCAATACTTTAACATAGAATTATGACTGTCGTTGCGACCAGTGGTCCGTTCCACCGTAGTGCTAATGTGATCGTGATTCCAATATTTTAACATAGAATTATGACTGTCGTTGCGACCAGTGGTCCGTTCCACCGTAGCGCTAATGAGATCGTGATTCCACTACTTTAACATAGAATTACGACTGTCGTTGCGACCAGTGTCCCGTTCCACCGTAGCGGTAATGAGATCGTGATTCCACTACTTTAACATAGAATTACGACTGTCGTTGCGCTACGATCTCTCAGAGGAACGGGATCCAGCATAGGTTCCACGGGGCCTATTGTAAATACCCAATCTGAATATGTACACGTGCCATACCCCGGGAGCCTGTAAAGAAATATGTAACCCCCACTTTGGTGTTTCTTTTCACAATGTCCCTGACGTATGATATTGTCGGTTGTATTAAAATAATAAATATTACTGTTTTAAGGTGCTGCATTTGTAGAAGGCCGAGAACAGGGGTCAGCAAGCGAACCACGACAAGGTCATACAACACTACCACCTCAACATGTGAGTATTTCTGTAAAAAAAATTTGTCCATGCTAGAGAAAATCAGTCTAGAGAGTCTACCCAAACAGATTCCATTTGGTGGGCATAGTAGCTGTGAAAATTATCGGAATGGACCACTGAAAATTAGTGATGATTCAAACCAAGTCGGTCAAGATTGCCACCAATTGCACTACTGATAAACGAATACAAGTATATGTTTACATCCTCATAACGGAAGCCATCGAGCGAAATCCAAAGGCTAGAAGACCTAAAAGGACCACGTGACCCCAATACGTTACAATAGATTTCATTTTTTGCACAAGACAACAGTATTATTACATTATGTTTTAGGAAAATAACTGCAGCATGTTTAGAACGCTGCTGCTAGGGTGAAAACACGATACCGAAAATTTGTTCCACCAATACTTAGAGATTAAAAGTCTCAGATAGGATCAGAGATGAAATCATTCTACTTGTGGATTGAGCAATGAACTGATCCTGGAACATCCGCCAACAAGGTAACTGGGAGCCAGCGATCAGCATCCCTTGAAGATACCATCAACGAGGACGAGCCATTTGTAAATGAGACCGCTCCTTTTTAAAGGTCAGGGCCTACTTTATGGAACTCTCCGCCCCAAACATGAGAAGCATGCAGGACGTAGAAACATTCAAGTCAATGATTAAAACATATCTCTTCAGAGAACCATGATTAATAACTTCTCTAGCAAAGCCAAGGCTTCTGAGAAGGAAACCCTGTGACGATAAAAATAGCACAATGATGTCAGCTACGTTTTTATTAAGCAGCGCTTGGGATGTACGCTCGATGGGGACCTTTAATTCATTAGTGAAGAGTATTATTGAATGATTATGCAAAACAGCTATTATTATAGCAATTATTTTTCATGGAGGTGTATAGAGTGGGTACAATTATGTATTAATTGTTACACCAGAACAGATCATGTGGAGACACTGACATACACTCTTCAAAATAAGAAACGCACAGGTAGATTTTTAGTAAATTTATTGTACCTAATATAGTCGATATATTTAATTAAATATCATAGATACAAATATGAAATTTTCGAGCTCGATAGTCACATGTTGTCCTTGTACAAAGGCATTGAAAACTGTTCTTTGTCATGTCACATAAGGCCACAAGGTTGCGCTAACTCAATATCTCGTGTGACCGCCCTTGGCAGCAATGACGGCTCTGCATCTCCTCAACACTGACTGGATACGTGTACGAATTCTGTTCTGCGGAATTCTGCGCCATTCTGCTTGTAACGCGTTGGCCAGTGGTGGGAGTATCTGCGGCGTGTTCTGACGTTGACGTACACGTCGATCGAGTCCATCCCAGAGGTGTCCGATTGGGTTGAGATCTGGAGATCTCTGGAGATCAGGGCAAGACGTTGATGTTGATATTATGAAGGTAGTCGACTTTCCTGTTGAAAAAGCTCCCTCTGGCAGTCAGTGATTGGAAGAAGATGGGGTTCAAGATCTCCTGGTGAAGGATATGGCCTCCACACCATGACACTACCGCCACCGAATTTGTCGAATTCACGTACACAATGTGAGGCTTAACGCTCATTTCGACGACGATAAACACGCTGTCTTCCATCTCGCCGGTGAGGAAGAAATCGTGATTCATCGCTAAACAACACTCTCCAGTTTCTCAAATTCCAAGGCTGTAAGTTATGGCGCCAACGCAATCGTCGCTGTCGGTGGATCTGTTGCAGTACAGGGACGATAACTGGTCTTCTGGGTCGTATTCCAGCCTCGCGAAGATGGTTCCTGACAGTCTGGTCCTCAAACCAGGGATGCGTCCTGGAGTCTCCGTAGCTGTGGCATTGCGATGACGTAGATGGAACAGTCGAATGTAGCGATCCTGTGCAGGGATGGTAACTCTTGGTCGGCCGGTTCTCGGACGGTCTGCAGTGGACTTGAACTATTGGGATACGTCCTATGGCGATGTTTCGATCGGCGGCGCTGAGCCTCGGCATCATTTTCGAACTTGAAAAATGTTGACAATTGAATGACAATTATTCGCTTATATGCTTGCCTTTTTATAGCCACTACCACGAGTTACGAATGTCACAAATTGCACGTTCATTTTTCTTTACTGTTTGAACAAGTGTGAAAACAATGCCGTTTAAGACATTGAAAATCGACAATGTCTGCGTTTTGACGCACAGTATGTCGAATATCAGGCCACCAACATTTTCCAATAACATATATCCAATTAATATACCGGATTTATTGTGTAGTCAGGTTACATGAACTACATACTACCTGTGCGTTTCTTTTTTTGAAGAGTGTATGTTAATATTGCAATGTGTAAGATTTCACTTCTCCACATCAGGGGCGACAAGGTATATTGTCTTCACGTGGTGAGTGGCTGGAGAAAGAAGTCAGGAATCTGCGAAGTAGTAAGACCATTTGAATATCATCTTGTCATCTGAACGAAGTGTTTTCAAGTGTTGTATGTCATGACTACGCATAAACGAAACATGGACGAAAACTCTCATAATTATGACAATCATTGCAATGTCCATGCAGTGATTAAGGTGAGGTGAGGTGAGGTGAGGTGAGGTGGGGTGGGGTGGGGTGAGATGAGGAGGTGAGGTGAAATGTGGTTTTACGTCGCGATCAAGATTATTTCACTTGTGTAGCGTCGTGCATGCATTTGTGTGTCTGTGCCTGTGTGTGTGTGTGTGTGTGTGTGTGTGTGCGTGCGTGCGTGTGCGTGTGTGTGTGTGTGCCACAGTTTAACATGGATACTCCACTCATACACAGTATACTGACTCCGAACCGATGAATCCTTGTTTCGTTAACGTGACAACAAATACCCTCATTTAAAGTCTTTTGGTACGACGTGGCCAGGGGATGGAAGGATAGAAACGCTGATCTTTCTTTCCCCTACGCCACAGAGACTGTCCAGCAATGATAGAAAACTTATTGATCTATTTGCAATGTTATTGAATACCTCACTTTGTAAGCGGCATTGATAATCTCCACCACAAGACTTTTTGAACTGTCTTTATTAATGGTACAGATTAATGAAATAAGTAAGGAATCATCACGATAATATTGTTTTCATGGCTAAAATGTAAATATTAAATCCTATTTCTTATGGTGTAGTCGGAATCGTTCAACGAACTCCGCTTTCAACAGAGATTTCTTATGATTATGGAAAGTTTTGTCGCTTTGTTTCCAGTGTTGGAGGCGCTTCAGAATCGTCCCCAGGAAACACCAGGAAGTTCGAACAGTGCCAGAGTGAGTTGATTCCTGTGAAATGCAGTCATTAGAATCAGTCCTTGCACTACAAACATGTCCATTCGTTGATTGTATAGATTATACATGCTGTTCAGAAAAGGGTGAGTGAGTGAGTTGGGTTTAACGCAGCTTTTAACAGTATTACAGTTATATCACGGCGTGTCAGCCTCATGTGGGAGGAAAGCCCGATGTGATGCAGGTCTCAGACGTTTACCATTTCGGTGAAACCCACGTGCACGGGTATAGTGCTGACAAACCTATAAACGTAATCGGGACGAACCGGGATTCGAACCCACAATCACAGGTTTCTGGCGTGCCCAAGGGACGCAACTCTGCACAGCGAATCGCCTTAGACGACTGGACCACCCGTGCCCCGTTCAGATAAAAGACATATGATGACATATACAGTAATACTTAAAAATGTGTATCATACAGATCAGAAATATGACTCTTAAAATGGTGACGAAACCAATTGAAACCATTTCTTGAAATATTGTATGAGAAAACAGTGATTTTTCAAATCAAATGAGTTTGAAAACACTGCACGAAAAGTTTACTTTATCAGAAACAATATAACAACGTATTGATTCTGTTTGTGGCAAAAGGACATGGTGAGGGAGCTCGAGGAACGTGTGGATGAGTTGGAGCGGAACAAGACAGCGCAAGAGGAGAAGCAGACACAAGCACAAACCCAACAAGTGGTATGTACACTGGAAGAAAAACTGTATTTTCCTTATTTCGAAAGTACATTGAATGAACGATAATTTTGCACCAATGGGCTAATTTCCGAGAAAATTATTTCCGTTTGAAGAATATTTATTGTTTCTTTTGTTATTGTTTATTGGACAATTTTTGTGTTTTCTGTATGAAAATTTAGAATTGACATTTTGTTAGATGGTATTTTAGTTTGGAAATTACACATTTTGTGTAGTGGTACATGTATGTCCTGTCAACAGTTATGAGTTCACAAACAAGCATATGAAGCTAGTTAGTCTTGACGGGTAAGGCATAGCGACATTGAATCACCCTATGGCCCATGGAAGCATGATAGACACAGTCTAGAGATGCTTCTTAATGAAATAACTTGCCTAAAGCACATTCGCGAACTACAAAAGTGAAAACGAATAAATGCGTGGCATCAATGGGCTCATATAGTCCGTGCAGGATTTGCTTTACCATCTCCGTAGATTGTTACTTAAACACATTCATGATCTGATTGGTTGGATAATTCAATTTGTTCAGTGTGAACGGGTGCATTAAATTGTTGAGACTTTTTTTTATAGCACCGTGTCCTTTCTTGGACAATGTGAATCTTCAAACAGAAAATAACATGCGGGAGATTCGCGTTTCAATGAGATAAGTTGATAGATATCTGGCGATGGTTTATAAATCCCCTTTGTCAAGAGGATTTGGATAGTTTATGTAATGCAATGTTTTTTTCAGCCGCTTGGAAACAGTGGCTTTGACAATGTGCGTTTTTCTCCAAATGTCCCAGGACCTAGAGAGGCAGATTAAAGGCACGCTGGGAAAGGTATCTGACCTGGAGATGCGTGTCAGGAGACTAGAGGCTGCCCGACCGAAGATCAGGAATGTCAGGACAGCCGAGATGAAGAATTTCCAGAGACCTCGTGTCAAGAATAAACAAGAAATCGGCCATACGGGTCCTGACAAAGTGGTTTGTCCAATTTTTATTCTGAACCATAGAGCTGAACGGTAAAAAGTAACTGTGCTCCATGTAAAGTGGTGTAAATGCTATGTTATTGAAAATAACACCATAATGTGGTCATTTGTTTGATCGATCTTTTATCATAACGAATTCAGAAGACAGAACCCATACCTGGTAACAGGAGATACAGCGACATGCACCAACAACCCCATTAACAATGCCAATATAGGGTGTGACCACCATTTGGGTTGATACAGGTGAACAGCGGTGGCGCATTGACGAAACTAGATGATTGATAACAGCCTGGGTCATGTTGTTTAAAATGTCAACCCAAAATTGACCAAAGTGATCTGGAGTTAATGGCTGGTTCTGGTCCTATCGTAGGCGTCGGTCAATCACATCCCACACGTGTTCTATGGGGGAGAGGTCTGGAGAAACAGCCGGCCATGGCAGTTCTGCAATGTTATCCTGCCTCAGTTCTGTAACAACAGATCATCCTGCTGCAACGTGACGTTACGTCCCTGCATTTGCACAAAGGGTAAAACATGATTTTAAACGCTGTCGTCCATAGCATACGCCATTCAAAGTGCCATTACGTTGATGAGTTGTGTTTTCCCATGAATTGTGATGCCACCCCATACCGGACAACAGTATAACACAAGCGTCACTAAAACGTTCTCCCGGACGCCTGAAGACCCTTGCACGATAACAGAGCTGACCAGATGAAGGCTGGCCTCATCTGCGAACAGTTTACTTTTCCAGGCTTGTCTTCTGAACATCAGATGCTGTCTACACAAAGCTAGGTGTTCCTGATGTTACGTGGAAGCAAACTTGGGCGTATCGATGGAGGTCAGTGCCGGATGTTGTGCTCCCTCAACCCCGATTGTGAAGGGGGCTGCCACTGATTGGCCTCAACCCAGGAATTGTCCGAGTTGGTAATGAAACAGTTTGGTATCGATTCCGTAGATGCACCAACAGAATATGGTTTTCTTGTTGCCGTGACGTCACACAAGGAGGACCGGCCCTTTACAAGTGATGATTGTTGCCCTGCTGTAGATAACGTCTCAACAGAATTGATATCATGTTTCGATGAACATTTAAGTTACTGTCAACTTCGTTTTGGGCCCCACTGTTTGCAGCATACCCACGGTGAATAGACGTTGATTTTCAGCAAGCCGAAGCATTGCGTAAACGTTATTTACGGTTAAACTAAATTGTTTTTATGACCACCTGAGCTAAACAATCATTGTGTGCTGTTCACGTTAAAAAACATAATCATAATCATAATCATTATCCCAACAAACACGCAAGCATCCAAATTGTGCGACATGTATTATTAACGAGCAGATTGTGAGTCCAACATATGTATTTAAAGATTTAATTTCAGAATTTTTTAATTAGACTGTATATGATGCACAATTACTTTTGATTGCATTCAACTCGGGTTAAATAAGGCAAAAACATGTTTTTTTTTGTAATATGCCAAAGGGTTCCACTGCTTGCTTTATTCACCTAATGTATTTATTACTGTTGCAACTCGGTAGGAAGAATAAAATTTTTATTTTATTGAACAATTTGAAGATTTTTGGGTTAGTAAATGCAAATTAAATAAAAAACCTAACCCAAGCATAAACAATCGTTATCATTTAAATTATGTCAGTTCACATTTCCTTCCAATTAAAACGAATACGAACACCTGGTGTCATCATATACTTTAGACAAGGGGCGGTCGGGTAGACTTGTGGTTAAAGCGTTCGCTCGTCACGTCGAAGACCCGGGTTCGATTCCCGACATGGGTACAATGTGTGAAGCCCATTTCTGGTGTCCCTCGCCGTGATATTGCTGTAATATTGCTAAAAGCGGCGTAAAACCATACTCACTCACTTTACTTTAGACAGCTATTTTGCTCTTTACGCCCAGTGATATCTGTTTCAGAAGATACTCAAGACTGGTTAATCTCTGAATAACATTGACGTCTGGCAATAAGCAAGACATACAAAACATGAGCTTTTATCAATGGATGTTATTGATTAATGGTGTGAACAGTTTTATTCCGAATGCACTAGGATATAGGAAGAGAGGCTAAAGGCGCATCAACAAGAGCGTCTAAGATAGCCACACGAGTCGACCGCCTGGGACCCAATGCAGGAAGAAGGGACAAAGTTGAGAAAAGACATGGAATGATGCACTTTGGCCAGGGGAGTGGCGCTCACAAAGTGGTATGTGTTAAAATTAGTAGCTTAAAAAATTGGTAAATATGTCATTTAAAGTTTGGTAAGAGTGTGTGTATTTTCCACATTTATGTCCAATGATTTCTTCTCGTCTGGACCAATGGACACGTGAAGATCCGGGGTAGAACAGGTCTTCAGCAACCCATGTTTGCCATAAAAGGCGACTATACTTGTCGTAAGAGGCGACTAACGGGATCGGGTGGTCAGGCTCACTGACTTGGTTGATGCATATCATCGATCCCAATTGCGTGGATCGATGCTTATGATGTCAATCACTGGATTGTCTGGTTCGGACTTGATTATTTACAGACCGCCGTCATATAGTTGGAATATTGCTGAGTGCGGCGTTAAACAACAAACAAACAAACAAACACTGGACCAATGAAGCTGAAATTTCACATGCTTGTTCCCATCAATGACAACTGAGTTTATTCAAGAGATTTAAACACTATTTTCAATATGGCTACCCGAGCAGCTGCATTGAAAATCCTGGTGATGGCTTTGGCATGTAACCTACCGGGCAAAAGGAAGTATACACTTGAAAATATAACGTCATCAAAATGTTACTGTCTGAATCGCCTGAAAAACTACAAACTTAATGTCTAAAAACCCTATGATACCAGATTCAAATAGATCACCATAGAATAACCATTTCTTGTTTGTTTCAAATATGGGTGTATACTTTCTTTTGCCCGGCAGTTTTTGTTTCTACTTATGATGACGTCATATTTTGTTCAGTCCATATAAAGGATTTTAGGGTGATTTTTGTGGAACAATTCGAAAACTTGTTGAACGTAATGCACGTTGCAATGATGTTATGTAATAGTACATTCAGTCATTCAGATACAAGGTGGGAATATAACTACTTGTTTCGCATTAATATCTTTGTCCTCCGTATTTATGTAGAAAATATTTGAATGAATACCTTTGTCCTCCGTATTTATGTAGAAAATATTTGAATGAATACCTTTGTCCTCCGTATTTATGTAGAAACTATTTGAATGAATACCTTTGTCCTCCGTATTTATGTAGAAAATATTTGAATGAATACCTTTGTCCTCCGTATTTATGTAGAAAATATTTGAATGAATACCTTTGTCCTCCGTATTTATGTAGAAAATAGTTGGATAGTGATGCTGAGCGCAACGTTCATTTAATAAGATGCTGTGACATCTTTTACTGCAGACTACATATCCAAATGGCCTCAACTGCCACGACGCTGACAATAATATAACATTTTCCCAGCTTAATAGAATTCTTTGGATTTGATAAAATAAATCGAGGTCCGACTCGTACTCTGAAATTAGATCTCGTCCAGAAGAATCATTTCGATTTGTTGATTTCAAACTCAACAGAAGGAAAATGATAGCTTCACAAACACACGAGGTGTGGAGAAATGTAATTTCACGAGTTAAACGTAGTAGATGTGATATCTTTTTCACAGCATTTAGTAACAGGCCATTAAAAGCCATTAAATCTCACGGGATAAAACAAACTCCTTTTATAAGAATGGCCAACGATCTAAGTCAATATATTTTAATTCTTGAAAGAATAACAAGTTAGGGAACGCGAATGCAAAACGCAAAAGAGGACCAACAGGACTGGAAGGAACGCTGAAATAGTCAAGATGTCTAAGTTTCCCGAGCAATTCCACGGAAGGACATCCTCAATGCGGCTTGGGTCCTTTCTTGTCGCCACAGAAAGATAATAAAATCTTATTATACTCTAAGTCTGAGTATTGAATACAATACATTTTTCAGATCGTATAACACACAGGGAGGAAGTTGGGAGGATCTTTAACGATTTACTCAAATTACAATTATCTACACACACTCTGTGCGCTTGAGAAATTATCAATATCTCTCTCTCGCTCGATATTGGTAGTTCAAAGCATGTCTGTCTGCAGAATTTTAGCACTGTTGCTGGATGCAGGTCTCCTCAGATAAAAGTTTCAGATTGAATGTACTGGTGGCTCCTTCAGGTTTGGTCCAGACAAGGTTTCTGACGAGACTGAATTGTGAGGCTTTGCATTCATGAGCAACCCCCAAATGGCTAGGCATGAAGACATTTTCCTTGAAAATCTACAGTATCAAGGACTTAAGGCTCGAGCCTTTGTTGGTCTCCTAAGATGAATCTCCCCCGTTTCCCGTTCCCGTTGTAAGACATGCAGTTGTTATCTAGGGCGAGTAGTTCGGAGGCTCTGGAGGCTGAAGTCAATATCAACAACATAGTGACCTTCCTCCACAGACCCTTATAAGTCAGATTGGCGTTGTTGCCCCGTTTCGAGACGAGGTGCAACCCAATTTGGCCAAGTTTAACTTAAGCTTCAGGTAAATCGATGTTCTGATATCGTTCAATAAGCATCAATTAGCCACTGATTTATCCGCCTGAACTAGAAATAAGGGAGACCAGTGAGACCTCCTCATCTGTTTCATATTTAGATCTATGCATATAGATTCAAAGTGACAAAACACTCCCCACAAAACTGTATGACAAGAGGAATGACTTCAACTTTCCAATAGTCAACTCTCCCTTTATGTCGAGCAATATTCCTGCAGCACCAGCCTTTTGTGTTTACATTTCCCAACTTTTCAGATACAATCGAGCATCCTCTTTCTATCAAGATTCCCTTTATGTCGAGCAATATTCCTGCAGCTCCAGCCTTTTGTGTTTACATTTCCCAACTTTTCAGATACAATCGAGCATCCTCTTTCTATCAAGATTCCCTTTATGTCGAGCAATATTCCTGCAGCTCCAGCCTTTTGTGTTTACATTTCCCAACTTTTCAGATACAATCGAGCATCCTCTTTCTATCAAGATTCCCTTTATGTCGAGCAATATTCCTGCAGCTCCAGCCTTTTGTGTTTACATTTCCCAACTTTTGAGATACAATCGAGCATCCTCTTTCTATTAAGATTTCAAAGAGCGTCATCCGACTCTTACTCAGCAGTACTTTGATCAGGGTTACAACATTGAAGGCTTCTGTAAAGCTTTCAGAAAGTTGAATAGTAGACATCTGAAGGACATGTGTTTGTGACATGTGCCACCGGTCGGGCAGCATCTGCTATCTTTTTAGGACACACCTGCTATCATCACTCACTTATAGTGATTCATAAACACATGCTAATAAAATAATCGGAATCGTACAATCGAAATTTCTGTTGGATATGAAAACTGTTTTGTTGCTTTTTGATTTGACAAATAGGGAGATAAACTCTAGGCAGGTTATGAATAATGGTCTTTATGGTATTTTAAGATTTATTCCGAGAGGGTTCAGTTTCAGAATAGTCAGAAGCTCTCCGGTCTGTCATCAGACATCTGATCAGAGTCCAGAAGTTGGAGAATCTAACAAGAGTCGTACATTTTTTCTATTTCTTTTACTGCCAGTGGACAGTCCTGCCTCCTGGCGAGACGATAGACCTGAGCCATGTCTGGACCATCCACTTGGTCGTTCGACATTGCTCCAACTTTGGGAGATTCGAGTGTAAAATTCTCTAGTTTTTCCCTTGTCTTGTCCTCCACCTATTTACCAGATAGAGACTTTGAGCGACTTATAGTCATACAAACTGAATAAAAACATCAAAACTTACAAAACTTTATCGTTACAAAATTTCTGGCTTTTAATGGCCTGTTACTGAGTGTCATGAAGAAGGTACCAATATCACACCTAATAAGTTTTATGAAGTGAAATTCTATGCATAGCTGAACTGGACTAGAGAATAGAGATTAATACATGAAAGTTGAGGGTGCTGTTACATATGTCATTATTGTATATATGCCCTGATTCATTCTACCTATTTCAGCTATCACGTGATACAGTCCTATTCAGGTCTCTGAACAATAACAATGGTAAGCAGCGCATCATATCATCTCTAAAATACACTGACAAAATACAAACAAACTTTACTTGAAAGGTCGTGGGTGGCTTTTTATTCTTTCTCAGCATTTAAAGGCATGTTTCCACTTACCAAAGTTAATGTTCCTTTTCTTTGTTTCTGGATCAGGATTATACAAATATTTAAAAACCTTTATTTTTTTCTATCTAAATGTTAAAATTTCGAAATATTTTGAAATATATTTTCACACTAATAGCCAACTATTAGTGTGAATGTTTCAAGTTGCTCCTTCACCATTCCATGACCTGCTCATGTCGTTCAATATGTAAATACATTAATTGTTCCTTTGTACAGCATCAGTGACTATTTTCGTTTCCTTGTTTTAAAGATGCATCAGACCACGGTGGCGGTGTGAGAGAAATATCCCTGACTGGCATCTCTAGATCTGTACTGTGTAAGTAATGTGCAGTCAGTGGTTCCATAGCTCCGAGCTGTGTCAACATCGGACTCATGTTTGTATGTTTGACAAAAATATGAGGGGTAGTCTATCATTCAGACCCTGAGACAATATATCCAATATAGCCCATGCAAGTCTATTTTAGTTGGCAAGTCTAGAATACTGCAGTTTAATGAAGAAAGAAAGAAAAAGTTTTCGGTAAAATATTTTAATTTCAGAGACAAGATGTTAGTCTACCCGTGGGGATTCCGGGTAGCAATTTTGGTCCCCAGCATTCTATCGTAAGAGGTGCCTAAATGAATCGAAAGTTCGGAGACTTAGTTGAGTGCATGCGCCTCTATGAAACATGAGGATCATATCCCTGATATGTCTTTAGTTGTATTTGTATAATGGTTTTAGGATAAAGTTTCATGACAAACTTAAATTGTATTTCGCCCACCGAGGTTTTAACTGAAAAGGGCCTCTTAACTTAAAAGAAGCACTTGTGGCCCAGTCGTCTAAAGAGCCACAATTCGCTGTGCAGAGTTGCGTCCCTTGGGCATGCCGGAAACCGTTACTTATAAAGCTTTCATCCTTTACATTGTTCTATTTCATCCCACCATACATTTAAGATATCACACATGATATGATATGTTTTGCAATATTGTTATATAATTTTGCGACCAAATACCCTATAATTTTGTGAAAACAAACCAGTAATTGAAAATTACATTTCATAAAGCGCTTGTACTAGACGGTTTTCTCCACTGCCAGGTCCATTACTTGGCCTTGAAATACAGGAACACAGGAGCAGCAGAGGTGAACTAAATTCTTTACACAGACACAAAACCCCCCTCGACAAGCCCAAGAAGATGTGTGCTACCACAGCGGTTCCCAATAACGATGATCCACAGTACTGGGAGGTACAAGCTGCTGTCAAACTCCTTGACCTGCTCAAGCCAGGGAACACCATCTTTGAGACAACCTTCAGCCAACAAGTGAATGAGGAATACAGGACCCTTGACAGTCAGAACATTGTGAGGCTTAGTCTCTCTTACTGCACGGACCATGAGAGAATCTGCATCATGGTGACGAAAGGACGAGACATATACGTGAAGCACACCACTGACTTCATTAAGAATATCAAAGACGTCCACACATGGACCAATTTCGGAATAGGTATTCTTGTTGATAGGAAGGAGAAAAGGGTAGTTTTTCTCAATCTGAGACAGAATGTTCTTTTTGCTGTTGTCAAAGACGTTGGTTTTCAAGAAGATTTGCGGTCAGTGTTTGGTATTGTGATTTGCACGACAGGGAACAGGTCCTTAGTAAACATGACACTTGTTAGTGGTTCAGACATAGAGATCACAGGGCGGAAAAAGAAATTGATTGAAAAAGCGATTGAAAAATAAACTCCCCTCTACCATCATGGAGGAAGCAGAAGACAACCTTCGACATTCTCTGGCATTGTCTTCACGCTGCTTTTAGAACCTAAATAAGAATGTTTCGAAAGTTCGGGAGAATATCGTTTTCATTGTTAAATCCCCTAGTATTGTCTTTAGGTTACGTTTAGACCGGGGTTATGAATTTCTCCCACCAGAAGCATAGGGAGAATATATTTTCGATTATAGCATTAATATATATAAATAAAGCGGCACAACCCTTTACATATCCAATAGAAATCTCTTCATAGTCGATTGTTTAATTCCGACTATATCATGAGCCTGTGTTTATGAATCACTAACAACTAGTCATGATACCAGGGGTGGCGAAAAGGAGAGCGTATCCTGCTCCACCCGTGGCACCCGTCACAAAGACATGCAAAGGCAAGTCAAATGTTCACCCGAACAAATATGGGAACATATGGTACAAGGCATAATAGGGAATTGCAGCGGACATAATTTTTGTCACTGATGCGTCATATTTGGAAATGTCCTCAAGATGTCTACCATAAAGCTGTTTTATATAAAACAACTTTTTTTTATATCCGGAGACCTCCACCTCCTTACATTTTAACTTATTTTGGCAGTTAATATGAAAACAAAGTAACACAATTCGTCCAAACAAAGTCTTTGTTGAATTACAATGACTGGATGTCATCACAAAACTGATTCTCAAATGTCAAGTGTACATTTAAATAGATTATCTCTATCAAAAGTTGAGTAGTATACATATATGGATATGGGAGTGCACAGTCATGTTGTCTCACATTTGCCAGATGTATTGAGGATCCACAGAAAGGTTGACGGCTTGGGGCGAGACTGGAAATAAATATCCAAACAAAAGACAATTACACTTTTCATTAATGGTGGTTCAGGGGTTCTTCCCGCCAAAATATTACCATGGTATCATGTTATATGCGCTTGAGGTTTTCATATTGCCCTTGGCTTACGTCATTGTTCTTATGGAAGTCACAGATATAGGTTTACAAAAGCGTCTTGCTAAGTTTTATTCTTACTGTAAATATATAACGTCACTGCAAGAGAATAAAGGGCAAAATTGCTGTGAAAATTATATGAATGACCACTGAAAATCAAAAAGTTTAAGCCCGCATTCACACAGTTTGCATACAGTAAGTATTCATTGCCTGACGCCGCACAGAGAAAAATTATCGGGTTTGGCCATTTGAGGGAATATGAATAGTTTACCATTGGAGATTCTGTACTCGAGATAGTACATAGTAATACATATCTGGGTATACAACTGTCTTGCTCAGGCTCTTTTTATTCAACTCCGAAGACGTCAGCTCAGCAGTCTCTAATGCTGTTCGAATAATAGTCTTCACTGAAAGTTTCTCGCTTTACCAAAATGTCTGTTTTCGCATATTTGACGCACATGTTATGCCTGTACTGTCTTATGCAGTTGAAATATGGGCATTCATCGCTCCCCTGACATTAAAACTGTCCATGATCGCTATTGTAAATTATTTCTGTGTCCAAACAGAGGTTCTCCAGAGATAGTGGCTAGAAGAATTGTCAACATGTTTTCTATTAAGTGTGTACACATGTAAAGTTCATAAAGTACTGGTTGAGATTAATATCACAAATGTATATGTCTATTCTTAAACAGACAAATAGTTTTCGGTATTTAAGAACAGAGATTCGTAAAACATGTTGGGCCTCTAATATTAAATGTGTGTTGTATTCATGAGGTTTGCCTGCCACAAGGTTTGTTTGTTGTTTAACTCCGCACTCAGCAATATTAAAATTATATGACGGCGCTCTGTAAATAACCAAGTCTGGACCAGACATTCCAATGATTGACATCATGAGCAATGCATTTGGGATACGATGGCATGCATCAACCTTGTCAGCGAGCCTGTCCACCCGATCCGGTTATTCGCCTTTTACGGCAAGCAAGGGTTGCTGAAGACCTATTCTGATCCGGTTCTTCACGGGTCGGAGTGCTACAAGGTGTGGCCCGGAGAATAGTTCTCCATGACCTTTGTGAAATGAGAGAGATACATGGACATGCAGGTTGACACTAGCCAAGATGACCAAGATGAGGATGATGATGACCCTCCGACAAGGGCAGGGAGCCTGCGTAATGACGTGCCAATGCAAGAAATGTGTATGGTTCTCAAACTTGTCTGTGGTATAATATCATGCATCATCAATCCTCATAGGGCACCAACATCTGTATTATAAAACTGATGATGATTTACATGTTGCAATTTGTATTATTTAATCTCTGAATAAAGGCAAAACACCTCAATTACGCATTTGTTTATTTCAGAACAATGTGGTGACAGAAAAGAAAAAAACCTAGCCTTATCAGTTGCACAATTGGCACTAAACGTAATGGTTCTGACAGGAATCTTAATCAAGGAAACAGTTGTCATATTGTGACGAGGAAATTCAGCATGTCATAGGGTGCTGACAAATAGACTGTCAGCACTGATAAGACCAAATGGTTGGTTGGTTGGTTGGTTGGTTGTTTAATGCCGCACTCAGCAATAGTCCAGCTATATGACGGCAGTCTGTAAATAATCGAGTCTGGACCAGACAATCCAGTGATAAATATCATGAGCATCGATCCACGCAATTGAGATCGATGACATGCATCAGCCAAATCAGCGAGCCTGGCCACCAGATCCCGGTAGTCGCCTTTTAATGCAAGCATGGGTTGCCGAATACCTGAGTTGCTGAGTGCGGCGTTAACCAACAAACCAGCCAACCAGCCAAATCATGTTGTGGGAGATACCCTGAATATATCTATGCCTACAAGCGTTGTATAAAATATTGGTATAAATCATTATCCATGCCAGACTACGACTACCAAAGATATGCTATAATATGATATTGTTACATAGGATTCATAGTAAAAGTAATTGGGCTTCAAAGTTAAGAAATGTATTATTTAAAATGGGATTTGGCTATGTTTGGGATAATCAAAGCATCGGTATTATTCAATCATTTTTATCATAATGTATGGTAAGAGCAAAATATTTTTATCAGCAAGATTGGCCTGCATCCTTGTCACATGATTCCAAAACACTCAAATTACTCTATGTATAAATCTATAGCGTGTCAAGAGTATTATAATAAGTATATTTCTATCCATAAATTTCGTGAAGCTTCAGCTAAGTTTAAATGTAGCTCTCAACAACTAAAACTTGAGACTGGTAGATATTCAAATGCTCGAAACGAAAGGTTTTGCAATGTTTGTAAAAAAAGGTTTTGTTGAAAACGAGTATCATTTCTTGTTTGTATGCACGGTGTATGCCGAATTGTATGAACAGTATATTCCAAGAAACTACTATGTATTTCCAGCATTTAATGAATTCGATGTCTTGGTGTCAAGTGATAAAATTAATATCATAAGAAATTTTCTATGTTTATTTATAAGTCTGAGCTGATGTAAATTTAAATACAATAATGGCTGCTGTACAGCTGCTGTATCATGGGAGGATGGCCTACGTAACCTTGCTGAAAACAACAAACAATAACAACGTCTTGGTGCTGCCAGTGAGTTATATTTGGTGGGCCTGATATATATATTACAGATATAGCACATTAAGGAACATTCTTCTAAAATATCTTGACACAAAAGGTTTATGGACATGTATACAATAACAATCAAACCAGCAAGTCCAGTGCTGCAATATCATGAAAACGAAAAAAACAGTATGAGAAAAAATGTATGGATGTCAACTTCTTTATTATAAGGACCACATTGTTTCCGAGTATATGCTTAATCCTTCATCAGGTGAATGAATGCTAGGATGCAGTGGGCATATACATGTAAAACAACGAACAAAGGAGGACATTTAACAAGGGAAGACAATAGTTAATTATGCTTAACGGTGATTAGCAATGGACAAATGGAAGCACCGATTGGTATTATAACAATGGATATTGAGATCGATGACATGCATCAACCAAATCAGCGAGCCTGGCCACCCGATCCCGGTAGTCGCCTTTTAATGCAAGCATGGGTTGCTGAAGACCTATTCTACCCCGGAATCTTCATGGGTCACTGATTGGTATAACAATGGATAAATGAAAGGCAATGGGATAATTAGCACTGATTGGTTTGTTTGTTTGTTTGTTGTTTTAACGCCGCACTCTGCAATATTCCAGCTATATGACCGGTCTGTAAATAATCGAGTCTGGACCAGACAACCCAGTGATTAATAGCATGAGCATCGATCCACGCAAATGAGATCGATGACATGCATCAGCCAAATCAGCCATCCTGACCACCCGATCCCGGTAGTCGCCTTTTAATGCAAGCATTGGTTGCTGAAGACCTATTCTACCCCGGAATCTTCATGGGTCACTGATTGGTATAACAATGGATAAATGGAAGGCAGGGGGAGAACTGCATCTCTCACAGAGGTGATATGATGAGGTGAATTCGGGTTCACTGAAATACCATGCAAGTTTAACATGAATAACCCCACTGAAACACAGCATACTGAGCCGGCTTGATATGTTGAATACCAAGAGAACAACGTTATGCATAAATGGTCCATACAGACCAACACAAGTTCTGCGACATACACAGACACAACTAGCGTACACACACACACCCTATAGATACCCACCCCACATGCCAGTCAATGCATAGTAAACATGCCTATTGCAAATCACTGTCAGCTGCAACACAAAATACACGACAATGCCGCAAACCAACACATACAAACACATCACAAGTATGTCAGAAGAGGCGTCTTATTCACCCGACGTGTCCGCCAGTGCATGACACATTTCGTTTCAAGGTCTTCGCATTGAAATCCTACACCAAGCTTGACCTCAATATCATCCTTTCTCAAACAGGCGGTCTCAATCAAGGCCGCTGCATATGTACGCTTCATGGTGTCGTGTACATGTTGACACACTGCACATCAGCCGGACATTCGGCACAGTGACCAAAGTGCTGCTACCATGGCTTTCAACGCCTGCTTGAACATCTTTGTGACTGTTTACTGTGTTGTGTGTCTGTACCCGGGGCTGCCCCATGTTGAAGGTAAATACTTGAACCAGTTTCTGTATCAGCTTTCTATGGACGCTACAGTCCCGTGTTGATATGTGACTTGATCAGGTGACTTGTTTACTAGTAGGCGTCTGTGGGGTATTGGTGGCCTCGTAAGATGTCTACACATCTCATTCATTGACTATCGTGCTTAGAATAACTGGTTGGTGTTATCATTGGTAATATGCAGGCGTACGTGACATGGAGCGTAGAGTGAAGACTGCGACGGCCATGTTTACCATGTACGCAGACTCTCACTTGCTTGTGAGAGAGTGAGTTCAACCTGAACATCGCATCGGCAATACTGCAGCCATACAACGATGAGACACGTGGTTACTGAGTGGGGTAGGGTGGGGTGGCGTTATACAATGCCTTGAGTGAGTGAGTGAGCTGGGTTTAACGCCGCTTTAAACAGTATTCCAGTAGTATCATGGCGTGGCAGCTTGATGCGGGAGGAAAGCCCGAAGTGATGCAGGTCTTAGACGTTTACCACTTTGGTGAAACCCACGAGCACGGGTATAGTGCTGACAAACCTAGAAACATAATCAGGGCGTACCAGGATTCGAACCCACGATCATAAATTTTTAGGCCCGCACAGCGAATATACATCAGCGCGGATTGTGAGCAATCTAACATATTGTTTACCCCATGTTACATAACCCAATCTCCAACACTTCTGTGATTATTGGTGCGTGTTATAACGCGGGCCCAGAATAAACAGAGAAAGATCATGTTCTACCCTTTGTGCAAATGCAGAGACGTAACGTCACGCTTCAGTGGGATAATTCCCGCCCACATGTTGCAATTGTTGTAACAGGCTTTTTGAGGCAGCATAACATTGCTGTACTGCCATGGCCGGTTGTTTCTCCAGACCTCTCCCCTACAATACATGCCTGGGATGAGATGGGGAGACGCCTACGACATGACCAGAACCAGCCGGTAACGCATGCTCACTTGGGCCAATCTTTGGTTGACATTTGGAACAACATCGCGTAGGCTCAATCATCTGGTGTCTTAATAATTTTTTTACACCACCCCTAATTTTTATTTTTGGATGCCGTTGTCACACGCTTTTATAATAGTGCAGATAAACCACAAGTATATATTGTTTGTTTTAATATCAATGTCAGCTCATCAATATTCCAGCTATATGATGAAGGCCTGCGATCAATCGAGTACCAGACAATCTAGTGATTGATGTTGTGATGTTGGTTCTAAATTGTGATTGATGTTGTGATGTTGGTTCTAAATTGTGACGATGTTGATAGGGCTGCGAGCACAACCTATATTTACCACTTATGTTGACCGCCATGTTTGTGTCACAGGAGGCAGTGACCAGGGCGAGGTATACTGGGAGTCGAAAATAATATCAGACATCCTCGTCAATTCGAGCTACGTGAAGGAAGCGCGGCCTGTAAAATCTGCCAACGTATCCGTTGTCGTCACGATCTTTCCCATGTTCCTCAGCATCGACAACATAGTGAGTACCCGTATGTAAGGAGTCTTATATCCCGCTTCCGGGTTCATCTCCTTCTACATTTAAAGATAATATATCTTCAGGTGTCCTTATTATTTACGTAAATACTTAAATACGGTTTTAAACGTAAAATCAAAGGCCCCGGAATGCGTAAACTTTCCCGCCTCGGATACGTAATGGATAATACACGCCCAAGGGTCTTGTTGAAATGTTGAAAATAATATTCCTAATACATATGTCTGATATTTACGATACGGAAGCACCCGAGAATAATCCAGAAAAAACTCTTCTTGTTCCTACTTTATGATTTTACAATACAGAAACACTCTTTTTATTCCTAATATATAATATTACGATACAGAAACACGCTTCTTGTTCCTAATATATGATATTACGATACAGAAACACGCTTCTTGTTCATGATATATGATATTATGACACGGAAACACGCTTCTTATTCCTCATATATGATATTTACAATACAGAAACATGCTTCTTGTTCCTCATATATGATACTTACAATACAGAAACACGCTTCTTGTTCCTACTATATGATATTTACGATACGGAAACACGCTTCTTGTTCCTACTATATAATATTTACATAACAGAAACACGCTTCTTGTTCCTCATAATATTATATGATATTTACAATACAGAAACACGCTTTTTGTTCCTACTATATGATATTATAATCTAGAAACACGCTTCTTATTCCTACTATATGATATTACGATACAGAAACACTCTTCTTATTCCTCATATATGATATTTACAATACAGAAACCCGCTTCTTGTTCCTCATATATGATATTTACAATACAGAAACACGCTTCTTGTTCCTACTATACGATATTACGATACAGAAACACGCTTCATGTTCCTAATGTGTGATGTTTAGTATACAGAAACACGCTTCTTGTTCATGATATAAAATATTATGACACGGAAACACGCTTCTTATTCCTCATATATGATATTTACAATACAGAAACACGCTTCATGTTCCTGATATTTGATATTTACGATACGGAAACACGCTTCTTGTTCCTGATATATGATATTACGATCCAGCAACACGCTTCATGTTCCTAATATATGATATTACAATCCAGAAACACGCTTCTTGTTCCTCATATATGATATTTACAATACAGAAACACGCTTCTTGTTCCTACTATATGATATTACGATACAGAAACACTCTTCTTGTTCATGATATATGATATTATGACACGGAAACACGCTTCTTATTCCTCATATATGATATTTACAATACAGAAACACGCTTCTTATTCCTACTATATGATATTTACAATACAAAAACACGCTTCTTGTTCTTCATATATGATATTTACAATACAGAAACGCGCTTCTTATTACTACTATAGGATATAAAATATTATGTCACGGAAACACGCTTCTTATTCCTCATATATGATATTTACGATACAGCAACACGCTTCATGTTCCTAATATATGATATTTACGATACAGCAACACGCTTCTTGTTCCTGATATATGATATTTACGATACAGCAACACGCTTCTTGTTCCTCATATATGATATTTACGATACAGCAACACGCTTTATGTTCCTCATATATGATACTTACAATACAGAAACACGCTTCTTGTTCCTGATATATGATATAACGATACAGAAACACGCTTCATGTTCCTGATATATGACATAACAATACAGAAACACTCTTCTTATTCCTGATATATGATATTACGTTACCGAAACACGCTTCTTGTTACTACTATATGATATTACGATACAGAAACACTCTTCTTGTTCCTGATACATGTATATGATATTACGATATAGAAACACTTTTTATTTTCCTAATATATAATATTACGATACAGAAACACTCTTCTTGTTCCGGATATTTGATATTATGACACGAAAACATGCTTCTCATTCCTCATATATGATATTTACGATACAGGAACACTCTTCTTATTACTACTATATGATATTACGATACAGAAACACTCTTCTTATTACTATTATATGATATTACGATACAGAAACACTCTTTTTACTCCTAATATATAATATTACGATACAGAAACACGCTTCTTGTTCCTGATATATGATATTGCGATACAGAAACACTCTTCTTATTCCTGATATATGATATTTACGATACAGAAACACGCTTCTTTTTCCTGATATATGATATTTACGATAGGGAAACATGCTTCTTATTCCTACTATATGATATTACAATCCTGAAACACTCTTCTTGTTCCTACTTTATGATTTTATGATACAGAAACAATCTTTTTATTCCTTGTATATGATATTACGATACCGAAACGCTCTTCTTGTTCCTAATATATGATATAACGATACATAAACACCCTCCTTGTTCCTATTATATGAAATGACGATACAGAAACACTCTTCTTGTTCCTGATATATGATTTTTATGATACGGAAACACGCTTCTTATTCCTACTATATGATATAACGATGCAGAAACACTCTTCTTATTCCTAATATATGATATTTACGATATGGAGACATAGTCGGCTTATAATTTATATTGATGAAAACGCTGTAGATGAATTCATGGTTACGTCATTTCAGAATGAAGCCGCCAACACTCTGACTACAAGGCTCATCTTGTTCCAGGTGAGTATGTCTGTTCCGTGGTACGGTTATAAAATTAAGTACAATACCTTGTGAGTCTTCACACGTGTTAGGAAAAATAGTTTGTAGCATTTGTTTGTTTGCTTCTTTTAAGATTTAAAAAAATGTTTACATTTTATTGTAATAAAATGGAGCTTGTTCCAATCTACCCATATCTATTTTCTTCAAGCAATGGACGGACAGCCGACTGACGTGGAATCCATCAGAGTATGGGGGTGTGGCCAGCGTGAGACTCCCCTCGTTAAGGGTGTGGCTGCCGGATATAGTGCCTTTTAACACGTGAGTCACGTGATCAGAGGTGCATGATTTACGCATTTATCACTTGAGAAAAATAAAGTATCCCTTTGATTTTATAAATCAGAAGGGGGCACGGGTGGCCCAGTCGTCTAAGGCGCCGCAATTCGCTGTGCAGAGTTGCGTCCCTTGGGCACGACAGAAACCTATGATTGTGGGTTCGAATCCCGGTTCGCCCCGATTATGTTTCTAGGTTTGTCAGCACCATACCCGTGCTCGTGGGTTTCACCAAAGTGGTAAACGTCTAAGACCTGCATCAATTCGTGCTATCCTCCCACATTAACCTGACACGCCGCGATATAACTGGAATACTGTTAAAAGCAGCGTTAAACCCAATTCACTCACTCACACAACTTGAAGCGAGAGAAATCCTGTGTCAAATTGGCCAGAACAGAGCTGTGAACACACAATGTCATTTAGAAAGTGGTCAAATGTAACAAATGTTATATTTGGGATAACACTTTCTTTGTAAAGTACAGATTCTCGTACTTTTTCGGGGTTGAGTACCGTCCGGGATTCGAATGCACACCGCCAGGGTGAGGCACATAATCGCCAGGACACAAAGTCAGCTATCTAACCCACTCAACCACCGAGGCTCCCACAAAAGTCCGACAACTGGTAGTCTAGATCACGTACTTTGTGTACCCCTCTGGCAAGTGTAAATTGGCATTGCTCCCATGACCGAAAGCAATGAAGACACATGCCATTTAGAAAGTGGTCAAATGTAACAAATGTTATACAATGTATTTGGGATAACATTTTCTTTGTACGAGAATCTGTACTTTACAAAGAAATTGTTATCCCAAATATAGAATTTGTAACAGAGCTGGTCACCCTTTCAGAAACGAAGCCTTGTTTGTTTGTTGTTTAACACGGCACTCAGCAACATATCCAGCTATATGACGGCGCGAAGTTTTGTAGGCGAATGGGTCCAGGGTATTTATCATAATTAAACTGGGATATAATACCCTGCATAATCGAGGATGGTCATTTACAGGCCGAGAAAAGACAAGGTCTGGTAAGAGCACTCTTTAGCTCGCATCATGTACACATAAAAATAAACGTTTCGAAATCGTTATGAAAATATTGTTAATATGACTTCTTTGATAGGCATTTAGAAGTTGGAGTACTAAGTAAGGATAAGAATTTATGGATGGACAACTATTGAAATTAGGAGCAACGTTTCGGTGTAGGTTCACCGTAATGGTTGACAAGTATATATACAGGTGGGAGACAATGTTTATAAAGATAGATATAGATAGAGTAGATATCATATGTAGTTTTGCTGGAGTGGAGAGGCCTCTTATGAATACACACAAGGGTAGTAATGACAATCATCGTGGAAGTCAGTGTAGTTATGTTATAACCCCGGCGTACCATCAACTCATCAAAGACCCCAATCAGTCATAATCCTGTTGTTTATATTACTGGCTTCATTCTTTGTTTATGTCACTGACTTCACCGATGATTGTCCTTACTACCCTTGTGTGTACATAAGAGGCCTCTCCACTCCAGTATAACTACACTGACTTCACCGATGATTGCCCTTACTGCCCTTGTGTGTACATAACAGGCCTCTCCACTCCAGTATAACTACACTGACTTCACCGATGATTGCCCTTACTGCCCTTGTGTGTACATAACAGGCCTCTCCACTCCAGTATAACTACACTGACTTCACCGATGATTGCCCTTACTGCCCTTGTGTGTACATAACAGGCCTCTCCACTCCAGTATAACTACACTGACTTCACCGATGATTGTCCTTACTACCCTCGTGTGTACATAACAGGCCTCTCCACTCCAGTATAACTACACTGACTTCACCGATGATTGCCCTTACTGCCCTTGTGTGTACATAACAGGCCTCTCCACTCCAGTATAACTACACTGACTTCACCGATGATTGTCCTTACTACCCTCGTGTGTACATAACAGGCCTCTCCACTCCAGTATAACTACACTGACTTCACCGATGATTGCCCTTACTGCCCTTGTGTGTACATAACAGGCCTCTCCACTCCAGTATAACTACACTGACTTCACCGATGATTGTCCTTACTACCCTCGTGTGTACATAACAGGCCTCTCCACTCCAGTATAACTACACTGACTTCACCGATGATTGCCCTTACTGCCCTTGTGTGTACATAACAGGCCTCTCCACTCCAGTATAACTACACTGACTTCACCGATGATTGTCCTTACTACCCTCGTGTGTACATAACAGGCCTCTCCACTCCAGTATAACTACACTGACTTCACCGATGATTGTCCTTACTACCCTCGTGTGTACATAACAGGCCTCTCCACTCTAGTATAACTTCACTGACTTCACCGATGATTGTCCTTACTACCCTCGTGTGTACATAACAGGCCTCTCCACTCCAGTATAACTACACTGACTTCACCGATGATTGTCCTTACTACCCTCGTGTGTACATAACAGGCCTCTCCACTCTAGTATAACTTCACTGACTTCACCGATGATTGTCCTTACTACCCTCGTGTGTACATAACAGGCCTCTCCACTCTAGTATAACTTCACTGACTTCACCGATGATTGTCCTTACTACCCTTGTGTGTACATAACAGGCCTTTCCACTCCAGTATAACAACACTGACTTCACCGATGATTGGCATGTTTGTGATATTTGAGCATGAGGAGTTTATTTCCCAGGAGACGAATTGAAAATATATGGTGAAATATTCATCTTTGGCTACGGGCTTACTCCTACTAATCAGATTCAGATGTTCTCTTAAAAAAACAGCCTTTCACCCATTTTAGCCATAATCCTGACCGTGATGACGTCAGAAGTGCGAAACGTGACCGTGTAAGACAAGGCAGTCAAGAAAGGCCAGTCTCATGTCCGATAATTGTCCTACAAATATTAAAAAGATTTACGTAACTTTCTGATTTGATATTTCTTGAAGGTAAGAAACCCAAAACAAAACATACTTCGTCCTTGCCGATGCCATGATATATTCTAATGTATTTGTATTCCAGGGCACCAAGTGCAGCCCCAGATCCCCTGTATGAAGAAACACTTGACGTATCGAATGACGGCACCATGAAATGGGCACCATTGATCCTCGTGTCATCAGCATGTCCCCTAGATGTCACCAATTTCCCATTTGATACCCAATCCTGCACGATCGTCTTTGGCTCGTGGGTACACACAAGACAACACATGGATATGAAGTTCTTCAAGGAAGGAGCGAAAGAGATGGATCTTGACGCCTCAGACAGTTCCATGGGCTTGCCAGTTGTTGAACATCCGTATTGGAACATCAAAGACGATAAGGTGAAAGCCAAGCTGTCTCATGTGACGTATGCGACGTATGAATTCACTATACTAACCATGACGGTGGAGGCGAAGAGGAAAGCTTCCTTCTTCAAGTACCTGGCCATAGGGCCTGGAGCTCTCATTGGCTTCCTGGTTCCCATGATTTTTTTACTACCTGCCAGGTCCAAGGAAAAGAATACGTTTGGTGAGATGTATTTAAGATATTAACGTGTGTTTACAGATTTGAGGTGCTTTCTAGTGTTTACGTTAAATTTGGAGCCGACGAATCCATGTGTAGTATCTTTGCTCGAGTTTTGCAAATTGTTTTATAATTTTTCTTATTTTGAAATACATTGTGGCGAAACTTTGTCTAGTGCGTGGTGCACAGGTCATAAATCTAAAGACGGTAATAAACGCTGGCGGCAGAAGGCAGGTGGATGGGTGCCAATTTGACAAGCTTGAATCCTTAGAGTTTCTTGGTTTTCTACATTGTCCCTCATTGAAACACAGGTTTTCAAACATGTGGTGTTTCCTGAGGATGTGTAGATGGGTACCAGGTGGGAATGAAATACAGCACCAGCACTAAGAGGCAGCACGGGTTTTGGGGATATTATTATCATGTACAGATCAAAACCAAAAATGCAGCAGAGAGGGTTTGGGTGACCATGGCACAGTCAGGCTGGTTAGGTGATCACCAGCTCAGGGCCTTTGTCACATCTACACGCAGCCCAGACAACGAATGGGACTTCTCCCAGGAAGCGCTGCCTAGTCAAACTTTTCGGAGAATGTGAAGACACCCCAACACTGCAGCCTTCTGAATTCCTGGAAGCAAACCCTGGTACGCTCCCAATGTTACACAACAGATTGGGAGGTACCAAACTTGAGGAACCGAGAACAATGGGGAGTCGGACAACTTGGTGTTTGGGATGGAAGCATGACATATTTGCCATGTTTTCTTAAATCTTGTCAATCACATTAGTGTCAAAAGGGACAGAGAATTTAATAATATAAATTATTATTGTTACTATTTTATTGAATCGAGTTAACGTTGTCTTACTTTACTCTGGACCGCCTCTGTGGTCTGGAGGTAGAGCGTCCGCATTATATTATTTATAATAGGATAATAACTCTCTATGCAGGCATGCTGATGATCATAGGGCTCATTCTCCTCATCTCGGTACTAGCCGAGGCCGTTCCCCTCAACCATAGCAGCACACCACGAGTAGGTGAGTATCAGTACTAGCCAAGGCCATTCCCCTCAACCACAGCAGCACACCACGAGTAGGTGAGTATCAGTGCTAGCTGAGGCCATTCCCCTCAACCACAGCAGCACACCACGAGTAGGTGAGTATCAGTACGAGCCAAGGCCATTCCCCTCAACCACAGCAGCACACCATGAGTAGGTGAGTATCAGTACCAGCCAAGGCAATTCCCCTCAACCACAGCAGCACACCACGTGTAGGTGAGTATCAGTACTAGCCAAGGCCATTCCCCTCAACCACAGCAGCACACCACGAGTAGGTGAGTATCAGTACTAGCCGAGGCCATTCCCCTCAACCACAGCAGCACACCACGTGTAGGTGAGTATCAGTACCAGCCAAGGCTATTCCCCTCAACCACAGCAGCACACCACGTGTAGGTGAGTATCAGTACCAGCCAAGGCTATTCCCCTCAACCACAGCAGCACGCCACGAGTAGGTGAGTGTCCTTATTAGTGGATCGATGCTCATGATATCAATCACTGGATTGTCTGGCCCAGACTCGATTATTTACAGACCGCCGTCATTTTGCTGAAATATTGCTGAGTGCGGCGTTAAACAACAACTGGCCACAGCAACCTACAACAAGTCGTGTTTGGGCCTCAATTTATTGCGCCTCCTTCGGAATATTCATGTAAGTTTGTGTTTTTTAAAACACACTCTTCACGGACGACGTATACACTCCCCAAAAAAAGAAACGCACAGGTAGAGTTTTAGTACATTTATTGAACCTAATATAGTCGATACGTTTAATTTAATATCATAGATACAAATATGAAATTTTGGAGCTCGATAATCACATGGTTCAAGACAGTCTGGTCCGATATCCTCCTCAAACAAGGGATGCGGCCTGGAGTCTCCGTAGCTGTGGCATTGCGATGACGTTGGTGGAACAGTCGAATGTAGCGATCCTGTGCAGGGATGGTAACTCTTGGTCGGCCGGTTCTCGGGCGGTCTGCAGTGGAATTGAACTGTGTGTATCGGTCCCAAAGGCGGCAAATGGTGCTGTGGTGGACATTGAAGTGGCGTGCAACAGAAGACTGCGATTTCCCTCTTTGGATGTTCCGATCGGCAGCGCTGAGTCTCCGCATTTTCGAACTTGACAATTGAATGACAAATTATTGGCTTATGCTTGCCTTTTTATAGCCACTATCACGAATGCCATAACTTTCACGTGTATTTTGCTTTACTGTTTTCCCCCATGACATTTTTTTAACAAGTGTGAAAACAATGCCGTTTTAGACATTAAAAATTGACAATGTCTGCGTTTTGATGCACCGTTTGTTGAATATCAGGCCACCAACATTTTCCAATAGCATATGTCTAATTTATATACCGTTTTTTTTGTATAGTCAGGTTCAGTGATCTACATACTACCTGTGCGTTTCTTTTTTTGAAGAGTGTATATGTGGTAGTAGTAAATGAAGAAGGAGATTGAACGATTCATATCATGATCATCACGCCTTTACGCGTATGGAATCTGGTTTGGCGGCTATTCGCGACTGGTTATTCTCTGGCGTTGATTTTTTTAATCAATTATTAAAACATAAGGATTTACGACGTGGAAAATACAAACTCATTGTACACGGTGCATGGATGCTATGTTGATGAAGATGTACTGGGTTCTCATCGCACGTTGTTTCTTTCAGGTCTCTTCTATCTGATCACACTCACGCTGATTTGCTTTAGTATGATCCTCTCTGTAATCGTCAGCAACCTCAACGTCAGGGGCGCCAGACGCCGGCCCCTGCCACAGTGGCTTCACCAGGTGGGTGAGTGAGTGAGTGAGTGAGTGAGTGAGTGAGTGAGTGAGTGGGTGAGTGAGTGAGTGAGTGAGTGGGTGAGTGAGTGAGTGGGTGAGTGGGTGAGTGGGTGAGTGGGTGGGTGAGTGAGTGAGTGAGTGAGTGAGTGAGTGAGTGAGTGGGTGAGTGAGTGAGTGGGTGAGTGGGTGAGTAGGTGGGTGAGTGAGTGAGTGAGTGAGTGAGTGAGTGAGTGAGTGGGTGGGTGGGTGGGTGAGTGAGTGAGTGAGTGAGTGAGTGAGTGAGTGAGTGAGTGGGTGGTAGGGTGGGTGGGTGGGTGGGTGGGTTGGTGGGTGAGTGAGTGAGTTAGTGTTTACCGCCGCTTCTAAGAGCAGTTCAGTTAACGTGTCAGTTAAATGAGGAAGAAGGCCCAATGTGCTTGGGTTAATATCCCTCACAAATCTGGTAACACAAACGGGCACAATAGTGATCAACCATGAATTTTGATTGAGGTAAATCGGGCATTCGAAAGCATGAAACTCCCTCTACAACTTCAGCTTATTTTTTTGTCAAGCTTATGCCTAATATCTGGTAAAATCCATATTACAAATGACATAACTGGAAGGATTAAACAAAGTTTGTCAATTTCGTCTTTTCTCAACAGGCATGTTTAAGCCGAAATGGCCTACGGAGAATTTTGTGTATCGACAAGTACTCGCCCGTGGACAGTTTGTTCGCCGAAACTTTGCGGGAGACGGAGGACATGTCTACGCATGGGCAACCGGAAGTTCCGAGAGGGAGAGAAATGGACAGCGTCCACACAAGTGAAATGAAGGATGTTTGCAAATATTTGAGATACATTTGTGGGAAAATGTCGGCCGAAGACTCCTACAAAAACGTGAACCAGGACTGGGAGGAACTTGCACGGGTGGTGGACCGAGTCCTCTTCGTCATATTCTTCCTCCTGTACGTACTTACGGCGGTGTCCTTGTTGACATAGGGGGTCCACGTGGAGATGCACGCTTGCTGAAAGAAGGGTATGGTTGTCCTGAAGACAGAGGTCAATCATGTCAAGCAGAGGTCAATCATGTCAAGCAGAGATCAATCATGTCAAGCAGAGGTCAATCATGTCAAACAGAGGTCAATCATGTCAAACAGAGGTCAATCATGTCAGGCAGAGGTCAATCATGTCAAACAGAGGTCAATCATGTCAAACAGAGGTCAATCATGGCAAGCAGAGGTCAATCATGCAGTGTGGAAACAGGGGCCTTCAGCGAACAAGCCAGCAGTTTGACCACGAGGCCGTCTAACTGCTTCTTGGACATCTTCCCGAGGCAAGGGAGTTAGCTGACTATAAAGGTCCAGTTTCCAAACTTGCCGAACTAGCTACATAGGTTGGAATTTCGTGGCTTGGTCGTAGCGCCACCAGAGGCTATAACGAGTTATGTCCCTTCTCTGTCCCTCCTATTGACCAATTAAGTTCCACCTCAAATGAATTTGCTTCAAATGCGCCCATTCGTCACCACTCGGCCCTTTCCGTAATCGGCAAGAAGATTCGCCCCCCTATCGATGAATGTTATGTCCGAAATTACGACAAACCAGTCAGAATGCACGCATGACTTTAAGTATTTCCGTCAAAGAATCCCTCAGGAATAGGTTTTGACTTTACATATGTCTTGCTTTTAAAAATATCCCCAAGATACAGTTAAATGTGTTCAGTCATACTGTATAATACTGTATGTCCCGATATGTTAAATAGCATCTAAATATATTTATGATATATAAGGGAAATAAACGTGAATCTTAACGCAACGACTTGACAATTCGTTTAGCTGTGCCCGTTTGCACTTAGACGGAACCCAGTTTCAAAAATGGCCACGAGAGGGACACGAGTCGCTATGCATAGACTCGTTAGTCCACCCGAAATATAACTCCGAAATTCCACCCTTTTTCGGCAATGGTGGAAACTTGATATTTATGGTCAGTTTAATCCCTTGTCTCGGGAAGGTGTTTCTTGGAAGACCTCGGTGAGTCTTTGGGAAATTCAAGGTTCTGATTGTCTTGGCTCGGTAAAAGATAAAGCTTTTTTAAAGATTATTTTCTGAATATTAAATTGGATGAGCCTCTTGGACTAGTAGGTATAGGTGTGTAAAAGTTTTTAGTATCACACCTAACACGATGGGTCCGTCAGATTATACAGTAAATTCGGTTTCATTGTTCGCTGGACACATGGCTGACTCTTAAAGATGCATTGTGTGAAAAAGCATGTCAACGTTTCATCCTGCGGCGTTGGGCCACAAACAAACACTTTTTAAAATACAAATTTGGTGAGTAGCCACCGGTAGTGCAGGACATCTTTACCCTTCACGCGAGCACCTGGTGTCATCCTCGATTTCCAGTGAACCATTCATATACTTGCCACCGCCTCTTTCGGTGGGAACTGTTACGGTTTATATACAGCGTTTACGGTTTATATTCAGAGAAAGTTGTATAGCACTAACACGGCATTAGTCTGGACTAGTACAAGCAAACACACACACACACACACACACACACACACACACACACACACACACACACACACACACACACACACACACACACACACACACACACACACACACACACACACACACACACACACACACACACACTGTGTTGGGTAATTTTGTGTAAAATACATTGGTTCAATGAAGACTGGTGTAAGAAATGAATTTGCAACCACATGACCCCGACCATGTTTGAACTGTTTTGTAAATTTGTGTCCAAAATGCAAAGATGTCTAAGACACCTATCAGCAGTTGTGCATTAGGCAAAATTTTTGTGTCTTTAAGTTTTAAAGGTTTTTAATCAAATTATATTTGAAAACAACAACAACCCAAACATGTGGAAGTATTATTCGAGTGCTGACTAAGCGCCAGTTCAGTTCATTTTGGGGATATAATATCGCTAACTTAAGGTATTTTGAAATCAAACATGATGAAATCAACTGGCAGGTGTAGTTTCTTTTGATGATCTTGAACCCCACGCTAAACCCCACATCAGCTCACCTCACTGACATTAAATGAGTTCAAGTTAACGAGGTTATTACTGTATATAACACATGTTGTAAATAATATACTAGTATTAAGTTTGGCCTTTATATGCTAGTACCTGTATTATCCACAAACATGTCCATTCCGCCATTAGGCCATCTCTTCCTTTACCGCAATGATGTTTTTTAGAATATGTCGAATAAATATTCATAGTATTATGTATGTCGAATAAATATTCATAGTATTATCTTGCTTTAATTACAAATGTAAAACAATTTTATTTTTATGAAGTAATATATTGGGCACATTTTGTCATTAAACAGATATTAACCTTATAGAAATATGATCTTGTTTTTATTTATTGCAGTAATGTCATATACTATACACTGATGCTATGTAGTGAATACATGTACTATTCACAGATGCTAGGTGGTGATTACATGTACTGTACACTGATGCTATGTGGTGATTACATGTACTAAACACCGATGCTATGTGGTGATTACATGTACTATACACCGATGCTATGTGGTGATTACATGTACTATACACTGATGCCATGTGGTGATTACATGTACTATACACTGATGATGTGTGGTGATTACATGTACTATACACTGATGCTATGTGGTGATTACATGTACTATACACTGATGCTATGTGGTGATTACAGGTACTATACACTGATTACATGTACTATTCACTGATGCTGTGTGGTGATTACATGTACTATACACTGATGCTATGTGGTGATTACATGTACTATACACTGATGCTGTGTGGTGATTACATGTACTATACACTGATGCTGTGTGGTGATTACATGTACTATACACTGATGCTGTGTGGTGATTACATGTACTATACACTGATGCTATGTGGTGATTACATGTACTATACACTGATGATGTGTGGTGATTACATGTACTATACACTGATGCTATGTGGTGATTACATGTACTATACACTGATGCTATGTGGTGATTACATGTACTATACACTGATGCTATATGGTGATTACATATACTATACACTGATGCTATGTGGTGATTACATATACTATACACTGATGCTATGTGGTGATTACATGTGCTATACACTGATGCTATATGGTGATTACATGTACTATACACTGATGCCATGTGGTGATTACATGTACTATACACTGATGCTATGTGGTGATTACATATACTATACACTGATGCTATGTGGTGATTGCATGTGCTATACACTGATGGTATGTTGTGATTACATATACTATACACTGATGCTATGTGGTGATTACATGTACTATACACTGATGCTATGTGGTGATTACATGTACTATACACTGATGCTATGTGGTGATTACATGTGCTATACACTGATGCTATATGGTGATTACATGTACTATACACTGATGCTATGTGGTGATTACATATACTATACACTGAACTGTGTGGTGATTACATGTGCTATACACTGATGCTATGTGGTGATTACATGTACTGTACACTGATGCTATGTGGTGATTACATGTACTATACACTGATGCTATGTGGTGATTACATATACTATACACTGATGCTATGTGGTGATTACATGTACTATACACTGATGCCATGTGGTGATTACATGTACTATACACTGATGCTATGTGGTGATTACATGTACTATACACTGATGATGTGTGGTGATTACATGTACTATACACTGATGCTATATGGTGATTACATGTACTATACACTGATGCTATGTGGTGATTACATATACTATACACTGAACTGTGTGGTGATTACATGTACTATACACTGATGCTATGTGGTGATTACATATACTATACACTGATGCTATGTGGTGATTACATGTACTGTACACTGATGCTATGTGGTGATTACATGTACTATACACTGATGATGTGTGGTGATTACATGTACTATACACTGATGCTATATGGTGATTACATGTACTATACACTGATGCTATGTGGTGATTACATATACTATACACTGAACTGTGTGGTGATTACATGTACTATACACTGATGCTATGTGGTGATTACATATACTATACACTGATGCTATGTGGTGATTACATGTACTGTACACTGATGCTATGTGGTGATTACATGTACTATACACTGATGATGTGTGGTGATTACATGTACTATACACTGATGCTATATGGTGATTACATGTACTATACACTGATGCTATGTGGTGATTACATGTACTATACACTGATGCTATGTGGTGATTACATGTACTATACACTGATGCTATGTGGTGATTACATGTACTATACACTGATGCTATGTGGTGATTACATATACTATACACTGATGCTATGTGGTGATTACATGTACTATACACTGATGCTATGTGGTGATTACATGTACTATACACTGATGCTATGTGGTGATTACATGTACTATACACTGATGCTATGTGGTGATTACATATACTATACACTGATGCTATGTGGTGATTACATGTACTATACACTGATGCTATATGGTGATTACATGTACTATACACTGATGCTATGTGGTGATTACATGTACTATACACTGATGCTATATGGTGATCACATGTACTGTACACTGATGCTATATGGTGATTACATGTACTATACACTGATGCTATATGGTGATTACATGTACTATACACTGATGATGTGTGGTGATTACATGTACTATACACTGATGATGTGTGGTGATTACATGTACTATACACTGATGCTATGTGGTGATTACATGTACTATACACTGATGCTATGTGGTGATTACATGTACTATACACTGATGATGTGTGGTGATTACATGTACTATACACTGATGATGTGTGGTGACTAACATGTACTATACACCGATGATGTGTGGTGATTACATGTACTATACACTGATGATGTGTGGTGATTACATGTACTATACACTGATGCTATGTGGTGATTACATGTACTATACACTGATGCTATGTGGTGATTACATATACTATACACTGATGATGTGTGGTGATTACATGTACTATACACTGATGATGTGTGGTGACTAACATGTACTATACACTGATGATGTGTGGTGATTACATGTACTATACACTGATGCTATGTGGTGATTACATGTACTATACACTGATGCTATGTGGTGATTACATGTACTATACACTGATGCTATGTGGTGATTACATGTACTATACACTGATGATGTGTGGTGATTACATGTACTATACACTGATGATGTGTGGTGATTACATGTACTATACACTGATGCTATGTGGTGATTACATGTACTATACACTGATGCTATGTGGTGATTACATGTACTATACACTGATGCTATGTGGTGATTACATGTACTATACACTGATGATGTGTGGTGATTACATGTACTATACACTGATGATGTGTGGTGACTAACATGTACTATACACTGATGATGTGTGGTGATTACATGTACTATACACTGATGATGTGTGGTGATTACATGTACTATACACTGATGATGTGTGGTGATTACATGTACTATACACTGATGCTATGTGGTGATTACATGTACTATACACTGATGCTATGTGGTGATTACATGTACTATACACTGATGCTATGTGGTGATTACATGTACTATACACTGATGCTATATGGTGATTACATGTACTATACACTGATGCCATGTGGTGATTACATGTACTATACACTGATGCTATGTGGTGATTACATATACTATACACTGATGATGTGTGGTGATTACATGTACTATACACTGATGCTATATGGTGATTACATGTACTATACACTGATGATGTGTGGTGATTACATGTACTATACACTGATGCTATATGGTGATTACATGTACTATACACTGATGCTATGTGGTGATTACATATACTATACACTGAACTGTGTGGTGATTACATGTGCTATACACTGATGCTATATGGTGATTACATGTACTATACACTGATGCCATGTGGTGATTACATGTACTATACACTGATGCTATGTGGTGATTACATATACTATACACTGATGATGTGTGGTGATTACATGTACTATACACTGATGCTATATGGTGATTACATGTACTATACACTGATGCTATGTGGTGATTACATATACTATACACTGAACTGTGTGGTGATTACATGTGCTATACACTGATGCTATATGGTGATTACATGTACTATACACTGATGCCATGTGGTGATTACATGTACTATACACTGATGCTATGTGGTGATAACATGTACTATACACTGATGCTATGTGGTGATTACATGAACTATACACCGATGCTATACCGCCCCACACCATGACACTACCGCCCCCGTACCGATCAGGGTCAAGAACTGTTGCCCTGGCATACTGCTCGCCGCTACGTCGCCAACAGCGTTTTCTGTTATCTATGAATCAGAACCAAAACCTTGATTCGTCTGTAAACATGATGTACAACATTGGCTTACAACCTGCCCCTGGCGTTGCCTATCCCACCCCATTCTGTGCCGCCCATGTAAGCTGTGAGGGCCACGCCCTTCACAGGACGCCTTGCTTTCAGGCGGGCTGCAAAGAATCGGTTTTAGTTGGACTTCGACAGTATTCTGTGTCTGAGTGGAGTATCCATGTTAGGCTGTGACATGGTATCTCAGTGGGCTAGCACTATAAATACGACATTAGACCGCACTAGTTCAAGCACACACACGCACACGCACACGCACGCAATCACGCACGCATACACACACAAATAAATTGGTTCGATAAAGGCTGATTTAAAAAAATGAATTTGCAACCACATTGCCCTTACCATATTTGAAAAGTTGTAAATTTGTGCCCTAAATACAAATTTATTGATTTTTCTAAGATAAGATGTCCAAGAAACGTGTAGGCAGTTGTTTTGAAGTAAAAAGATTTAAATCA